GGCCGTTTGTTAATGATTATTATTTAAACGTAACACTCTCCGGATGAAATGTGTTTAATATACGACCGTCGGTTCCAATGACATGTTAATTATTTATAACACTGTTTTTATACCTGTGCTTGTTCGAGTATTTGGCGTTGGTGTTTATTATTATTTAATATCGTGTCGAACAGAGGGGTCGGTCCTTAATTATTATTGTTGCCATTGATAAGGGTCACCGCTTGTGTGACTTGCCTGGCAGAAATCAAGTCGACACCGTGCCGAAAAGGTACATTAGGCTCGAGCACGGGTTGTGTAAACTTCCTGGTATTTTGCAAACTTCCCACCGTCACCCGCCCGCTCTAGTGGATTGTCATTTATTGTCTGTGTTGTTGTCCGAGTGGTTGAACGCGTGTAATTATACCGCTATTGGATTAAGCTCACCTCGACTGGGACTTGTCAGAAAACCGGCCCATATTAATGTGAACGGCACTCGGTATTCGGACGACCCATCCGGCTGCGCTAATTGATTTTGCTTAAGGGATGAGAATTTTCTAGGTAAATTTCCTGGAAAGTCGCAGACCTTTGAAAGTCCTCGCTGGACTGGCAATTACAAAATGTCGGGTATTTTCCAAAAATTTCCGGTTACTCCTACAAATTCAGAAAAAAAAATCATAGTAAAGAATTATGAAATAATAATTAAAAAAGAAATTTTTTGAAATTAAAAACAAAATTCCTTATTTTTTTCCGTTAAATTGAAAAAAAAAAGTATTTACTAGGCTTTAAGCTCTTTGTAAAAACTAAATAATTGGACAAGGGTAAATGTTGAATTTTTCTTTTTTTTAATACCAAACAACGACCCTAGACTGCGTGCGCCACAAAAGTTGCACATGCACTATCTTGATATTTTTCTGAACAGCCGATTATTATTAAATTAACAATTGCAATTTTTTCTTAAATTTTATTTTAATATTAGAAATATATAAAATATTAAGGTGGTTTAAAAAAAATGTTTCTATTAAAATGTTTTGCTCTTACCCCCTTTAATTGCTGTTATTTATATTATAAGAGTAGGTAAAAAAAATATATTTTTTACCTATCCTAAGCTAATTTACTATTTGAAGTATAAAAAAAAAAATAATATTTACAGTGGGCTGTTAAAAAAAATGTTTGTACACCCGTAGGTACGTTCCGCCGTATTACACATACTTTGGCCACCAGTGATCGACGAACGAGTTGAATTAAAAGCTAAAATTGGTATTTGAGTATCAAAACTTAATAGTGTCATTCTGCATAGACAAAAAACTTGCAACCTCCCCCCCCCCCAGGGGAATGGGAAATAAGTATAAATTGAATTTGATACAATTGATGTGTGCGGGTTTACTAAATAAATATTCCTTAAAAAATTCAACTCCCTCCGACTCTTTTTCTCGAAATTATAGCCAGTAAAAGTTCCAACTTAAAAACTCGTATGGTTTTTTCAAATTTTAACCGTGAAGAAGTAAACTTTTTCAACTTTTACCCCCCAAAGTACCAACTAGATAAAATTTGTGATTTATACAGTTGCTATTCGAAGGAATTGGTAAATTTTACACTGCCCACAAAAAACTTCAAGACAGCTAGTTTTTGCAGTGATTGTAATTTGGACTGTGCTGGCTTGAAAATACTAACTACTGATTTATCAATTTTATCACTTAAAAATTCCTGCAAGCCACTGTACTGGATTGTATTCTTGATATAAAATACTAATATTGTACTATATTATTATAGGATAAGAGTCTCCAATGGGGCCTTTACAGGCCATGGTACAGAATAATTTATTCGGCCGGCTGTTATTTTCATTTGCTAAAAAAATTTTTTTTTACAATATATGAAAGATCCAAAACCACAACGACCAAAAGAGAGTACCCGCTATAAAAAAAATATGTTGTACGCGAAAACGAGATGCACCTGCTCAGGCTCGATGCCGGTCGTTATCGGAGGTCCGTGTTAATATTTCACTTGTGTCATCGACTGTATACAATGGTCAACAGCTATTAATGTATAGATGATAGTATTATTATTATTATTATAAAAGTCAGATGTCTGGCGGCGGCAGAGTGGTTTTCGGAGAGACTACATACTACTACCGGCGACCGGTCGAGACAGACGTTATGAGCATAATAAGATGTACATGGCGGGGTCATAATATCCCAGGAGTGAACATCAATCATTTTATAATTGTACATATAAATAATGTGAGAGAGAGAGAGAGAGTAATTTGAGAAAGTCTACGACTTTTTGAGATGACGACCGTTTAATTGGCTAAATAATTTTATACGATTGTTGAACAAATCTGAGCCATTGGCGATCACCCTGTATAATTGTGTATCGAGTGGGATGTTAGCGTTTGGCACACGTCGTGTCGTTCAGTCAAGACGATGCATGCATACTGTGTGTCTGATAAGATGTCGGATGTTGTATTAGTTATGAATGCAGTCGGTTTATTAACGACCCAATGTTTGTCCTAAACACGACCTTCCATGCTGTGTCTCCTAACCGGCTGCTCAGGTTTTAAACTTTTTTTGGAAATCCATCATCTGCCACCGCCTTTAGACGTCTCGGTACCATAGCATCTTCTAACGTCACCCTCGGGCTAAGTTACTTATATAATATACACATGGAAACAGGAAGGTGTGTGTGGAAACTGAAAATATAATAATTTGTCCAAAAATTCTTGTCTGAAAAATAATACTAATTTTAGTAATACGATTGTAAAAGTATCTAAGGTATTAGTGGTTGGTGTAGAAAAAAAAATAAAGAGGTCTTGTAGCGATTCCCATTTTTTTTTTTTTGTTTTAATTATTATGCAAGCTTATATGAACTTTGTTTAGTAGTAATCACGTTAACGGCGGTCGACTCGGTTGAACAAAAGGTCAACGTTATTTAAGTAAAATATTGACTGGAGCCAAAAAAAAACCAATTATAGGTTCGTCCCACACACATTTCACGCCTTGATTTAATCTTTGCGTTCCAAATAATTACTTTTTTTTTTTTTAATGTAAACTAATTATTAGGTGTAAAACGATGTGTGCCTCAGAGCTGTTGGTGTTAACGCTTCAATCCGAAACAATAGAAGTGGTGGACTTTTTCGACGTTTAGCCAAAAGCACAATATATTTTAATGTTGAATGTTCAAGTACATAGCTTCAGAGTGAACATAACTTCTCGCAGCTTAGTATCGAAGCCAGTGAATGAACTGTATCAGATAAAGTTCTGAAACTCTTCACTAGGTACTTGCCCAAGGCTACAAGCCTAAATGATTCTAATAACATTCCAAAGCACAAAAACCATTCATCGGTTTCAGAGATTTGCGTGGCTAAAGACAAAATTTACATTAAAATTGGCAATTTTTTGAATTATTAAAAACAAAATTTCAATTATTTAAAGAGAAAACGAGTGTCCTATTTTTAATAGATCGCCCTGTGTATAGCCAACTTTTAGTATAGGCACCTTATCTGGCACGGTAAATTTTCTGAACATAAAAATCTACTTTATATGTATAAAACAAGACTTAGAAGATCCATAGGTATGGATCACGTTTTTATTTGTTATTTAATGGGAACATATGCTTTTAATTCCATTAATATGTAGACAAATAATAAAAATTTAAAAAAATGTTACCGTTTGAATTTTGAATTTACAACAATCTGTTCGTTCGCTATGACTTTGCACTGATGATATTACATTCCCCCTTGTAACAGCTGTCATATATTATCTTCGGTTTCCCAAATTCCAGTAGCCTATTACATTCACGCCAATAACCATAGACAATGAATTGTTTTGGGATAATGATAGACAAGCGGTTCTTAACTACCTATTCAAACACACAGCGGCGGTGTTATCGACAGGGGTCGACATTATTGTTTAACGGGAAACTGTTGTACAATCCCAACGATTATCGATTTTAACCATGTCGTGGCAAACGAACGGATGGATGCAAATTTCAAAACTCAAAAGCTATCATTTTTTGGATTATTTTGGCCATGGTCGTACAAAATGTTTTTGTCGTTACCTCTTTTTTTTTGTTATAGTATCTTCAACCGTCAAAAAAATAAAAAAAGTTTCTAATCAGTTTCTTATGTAAAATAATCTCAGCTTCGTGAAAAAAATATAAATCTGATAAAAATATTCTGAATTTATAATGCAAAAGTTGTTTTTTTCGTGTTGACCAAAATTTGAGAATTTTTCCAATAGTTTTTTCGGGAAACTGAGAAAATTTGACATACAATTTGAAATAGGTAAAAATGCATAGAAAAGTCAAAAAAACGACCACAATATTTAAAATAGTTGATAAAAAACTATTTTACAGACAAGTAGCGGAAAATATTTATATTTACCAAGAAATTATCCGATTAGAAGTTCATATCTATTTTATGTAGGTACCTTATAAAAAAATATAAATTTGCACTATTTCTTTTTCCCCGAAAGCGCTTTTACATTGTAATCAAATTTGTAACGATGTCGATTCCGTTTTTATGTCCCGCGAAAGTTTGAGAACGAAAGCTTTATGTTTTTATTTTCAAATTAAAACCCATCATTACACGTGTAATAATGGCTCATTATTATGTTTTATTATCTAAAAATTTTAAACTCGAAATACTTATTTTATGTTCCAATATTGTAGGTAAAATGTTTTTTTCTGTTCTCCATTTCTTTTTTGGTTGTTTCAGGTATAAATATTTTCTGCAATTTAACGGCTCGTCCCGTAAAGTGTTAATAAATAAAAATGAATCCGTCATCCATCAGATGGGTCAGTACAATACAGGAACGGGGGGGTATACAACACCACAGCAATGACTATAGAGTAAACAAATCGGGTGATAGCTCGCCATAGGAAGTACCCAACTTTTCCGGAAGCCACCGGGGACGCGGCCGGCAGGCCGAAGGCGCGCGCGACCGGTCGCCACCGCCGTCGGGTCCCGCCTCGCGCGCCAGTCGCTTCGCCGTCACGTTGCTCGCCGGTCGCGCCTTGGTCTCACGGCCGCCAACAGCCGCCACTCGCGCTCTCGTCGCGCGCACGCCGGTACGACTCGGAACGCGGTTTTTTTTTTCGTACACTCTACGGATTTGGAATTTTCAAAAAATTCAAAAAACCTTTCCTCCCCCCCCACCCCTATTCGTACGCTTTGAAAAAAAAAAACAATTTTTTCGGATTCGACCGCTTGCCTTGCCGTTCGTCGTCCGCGCTTTCGGCCGTCATGTACGACGTCGGTTGAGCTCCGTCGTCGGTCTGGAGCTTTGGAAAAAAATCTGATCCAAAAACATTATACTTTGAGTGGTTTTTTTTTTTGAAAATTAAAATTTTCGGGTAGTGTCGCGAGTGCCCCCTCCCCCTCCCCCATTACCGGCGGCCAAATCCGGTGCAACGCGCAAAAAAAAACAACAACAATGCCACTTCTTCGCACCTCGGGATTACTTCTGTTCCTGTTGCTGCTGCTGACGTCCTGGCCGAGACATCCCCTTCCGGTTTCGGGTCAAGGTAAGAGAACAGCCTATACTATCACCGGCTATGACATAATTTGTCACACACCCCTCTCTGGGATCTAACAGACCAGATCTAACAGACATCATCGCACACACCAATAGCCCGGAGGCCTCGTTTAAACAAATTTTTAAAAAAACAGCGTGTAGCAATATTAATATCGCACTCACACGGCGCGGTGTAATGTGTATTTTATATTAAAATATTATATGTACATTATACATATAATCTAAAAAGGGGTTGGGGCTAGTCTTTGGCCGTTAACCTGTCAATTCGGTCACGTCGTCGTTTAAAAAGTCACGCGATATTTTGTTCGCTTATAATATTTTATATTCATTTTTTTCCCCCACTTTCCGTACTATAATATTTTCCCTTTTGTTTTTCGCCATTATAAATATTAGCAGTAGCAGCGACAACAACAACAGCGGCGGCAATAGCAATTTTATTATTATTATTATTATTATTTACACAACACCGCCGTTAATGGACGAACCGTCCGACCGGGTGTACCTACCGCTTTTTGGCGCTTTTTTTTTCCATCCATCTGTAAAAACCCCCCCCCCCGCCATATCCATTCTCCCCCGGGCAATCTCTTTGTGATAATTTCCACAAAATTACCGCACAACCGCAACAATACCCATAAGGTTAGGTCAGGCCGGTTGGGTTCGGTCAGGTTAGGTCAGGGCCAGTTGGGTTCGGTTAGGTTTGGTCAGGTTCGGTTAGGTTAGGTCAGGTTCGGTTAGGTTTGGTTAGGTTTGGTCAGGTTCGGTTTGGTTTGGTCAGGTTCGGTTAGGTTTAGTCAGGTTTGGTTAGGTTAGGTTAGGTTAGGTTTGCCGAAAAGTGGACGCTACACCCGATATTTATAGCGTGGAGTGTTAAGTATAAGACAATTTAAATTTTAAGGTCCAACTGTGATGTGTAATATAATTGTAGTGAATAATTTATAGTTTCGGACTACCCTGGACAGCCCTTTGAGTGATTTTAAGACAAAAATACCCGTTGGAAAAATAAAACAAGATAACAATATGTATGTCTTCGACGGCACAACCGGCTATTAATTTTCTGTTATTCCGAACGGTGCGGACGACGCGTCGTGTACAAGTCAATAGTATATTTCAGACTTATGTGACTTTTTAGGAGTGTGTTGTTCCTCGCATTGTTTTTTTTAAAACAAGATACTTTTTAATGGTAAAACAGCTTGTTCGCAATCAAACACCGCACCGGTCTAGTCGGAAAACCTTTTGCCGTTTTCCGCCACCCGACTTGACCAAGTCGACGATCAACAGCAACGACTCGGTACAACAATTATTACTACCATCGTGCACACCGATTTGATGGCTTTTTTTTTATTAACACTATAATATTATTACTACGGATTCGTCATGTTATTATTATTTAAACGGTTCACAGTGCGCGGCAAACTACGTGTTGCTCTATCGTTGAACAAACACACGCTTAGACCGCCGGCAACACGTTGTCACGGTGTATACATATAGGTACATATATAAATTTATACACACATACAGCTCGGTGTATAGTTTCGTGTCGCCTTACACACAATAGTACAACACATAATAGAACATTTTTTTACTCTATAATATAATATATATATATATATTAAACACCACCCCCGCACCTCCCCTTCGCAAGTGTTAGCCCGATAGTCGTGTGTGTGTGTGTGTGTACATTGATTGAATACAGATATAGGTACCGGGGGGACCCTCCCCCCCCCGTTTAGATTTATGTTATTTACCCGCGAATCGGTGTGTATACTCTCAATAGTATAAAATGTAATGATAATAGTATAGTTTTTTTTTTGTACACATCTAGGCAACGCTACTATCCGGGTTAAATGATTTTTTTAAGTAATGATATTATGAGTTTTCGACGGAGCTTTAGTGTGCCGTTCAAAAACGTCCTCCCGAAAATAATCCACATCTAGTCGCACCCAAACGAATAATTTTTTTTACTCACAACATAGTGGAGTTGTTGAACCGCTTCATATTAATACCTATGTAATGTACAAAGTTATTGTCTCTCTCTATCTCTCTCTCTCTCTCTCTCTGTCTGCCTTGTTCACTCGCTCACTCGCTATAGATTCACAATATTTGCACGCCATTGCCCTATTTATCGTCACGTTAGTACAGCGTTTATAGTCGATTTCGATTAACCGCGTTTTGTGTTTATTATTATTATTATTATACTTAGGTACATACCGACAGCGAGACTGTGTTGTGGTGTGCACACGAGGCCGAACAGATTTTGCCGATAAAAACGTTCAATGGCCGGCAAAACTGTCGGCCTGCGGTGTGTGTGTTGAGATAATCGTGTCTTGATTGATGTTTAAGCTGTTGTACAACTCAATTATTAGAAAAAAATATATAACCAAATAAATAGGTAGGTATTAGAACAGAAAGTTGGACGAGGGAAAAAATGGAGAAAAAGAAAGGAAGACGTTGCTGTTTATCAGATCGAAATCGATTATGCAAAAAGCATAGTATCAGTAGGTACAAATAAAAAAACTAAAGAAATTCACTGGAAAACGCCTTTTAAAAATTAGTAATTTATTAGGACGAAATTGTAATGCGTTTTTTTACTAACCGCATTAAAAAAATAGCCTACTAACATATCATGGCCATGTTTTATTTGTTTTTTTTTGATAAATAAATTGAAAAAAAAAAATGATTTCAAAGTAAATACAGATTTCATAACGTCTTGACCCTAAATTAATCCTAATCCCATGATTAGTATGTTTTAAATTGCAATGGAAAACTGTTGATAATGCATATTTACATTTACTTTTACTTACTTGTCTACATTCAATGATGTATGTAGGTAACTACATCAGGACTAAAGTTGCACTATTAATGTTTACATTATTCAGAATTCTGATTAACCCGTTTAGGTCATTTCGAGTCTCGCTCTTCATAATTTAAAAAAAAAATCACCAATCAAACCAGCTTGAAATTGTTTCAACCCGATTTTAAATAATCTGTAAAAATATTAGCTAAAATAAAAAAAAAACTATTCAAAAGTCAAAACCTAGTGGTGAAAAAAATACCTACTTTGTCTTAAGAATATTCTTTATACACTTTTGAACTAATTCGACTGTTTTTAAAGAAAATTCTTAAAGCGTCTTGATTTTTAGTTAAAAAAACCATAGATATTTTTTTTTTTGCGTTATTCTTGAACAAAAAATGTGTTATTAAAAGATTTACAACTGTAAATAACTCTTCACTGGACTTTTACAAGCCAAGGTGATTCTAATAAGACCCTAAGGAACAAAATCCGTTTGTTGGTTTCATAGATCCGAACGGCTGAAGAATAATTTAGCAGCAACAAATGACAATTTTTTTTTATATTGTTACATACTTAAATAGCTTCTTTTTTTTTTAATTTCTTCAATTCAGCTTGGAACCAACTTTCTATCCATCATAGTTTATGACAAGACAAATATCTATCTTCTCGGTTTTTTTTTTAAATTATAATGAGGTACCTTGTCGTTTTTTCCTATTCACAACAAGCTCTTAAAGTTATCAACATCACTTTTTTTTTGTCTTTTCAATTACAATACTTACGTTATTTATTTTTCTTAAAAAATATATCTTATTCCAGGCCACGCGTCCGAGCTTAAATCAAAGCACAATGGCCGTTTGTGTGACGACCATATAATATAATAATAATAATAATAAAGGTGAGTCCTACCTATCCGGCTCCGGACTAAACAGCAGCTATACATTATCATGCAGACTTTTACGGTGGGTTCGGTAAAAATCAAATAAAACGGTTAAAAAAACCCCCCTGCTTTGTACTTTGACGGTAAAAAAAAAAAAAAAGGCAATTCGCTTATTAGTTAACGATTTATCGACGGCAACGTTCCACGAACGTGCTTCTGGTGCTTCTTATTTATCGACCGTTTAAAGTCTTAAAACACAACCGTTTAATACACCGTGTGTAATAACTAATAAAAATAATTGACAAGATAAAAAAAAAAAAAAAAAACCTAACCGACTTTATAATGTTATTGTGTATCTATATTATTATTACTACGTTGTTCGACGGCCGAGATAATTTACCGCAAGCGGGTTAATTAAGATTTTTGTCTTTTATTTATTTTAACGACCCGTTTGACTTTATGGCGGACCTAAAAAAAAAAAATCAAATTTTTTTTTTTTATTAGATAACGCGCAGTAAGTAACATCTCGTTAACGACGATAGTATAAAACATTTATTATTATTATTTATTATTATACATACATATATAATATTGTATAGGTACGACGACCCACGTCGTTTGACACCGAACCGTCTCCCCGTATAGGTTAACAACGGAAACGAGTTCTATTGTGACCTTTATTTTTTTTTTCCATATATATATTTCGTTATTGTTATTACATATTTTATTATTTTAAATTGAACTCATAAAAAAAAAACCGCCGTCCTGTCGCCGCCACTTGTGTTGAACCACTTAAATCACGTCGTCCGTTACTGACAAAACGTATCGGCTAATAACAGCTTGTCAGATATCAAACTACCGTCTTGTGGACGACACACGATCCTAAGTGTCTTGATCCTTCGGCGCCCGCCGTTGTAATACCGGTAATATAATATTATTATATTTACTACACGATTTTCGATTTCTCAAGATTTTCAAAAGGAATTTCTCTCGAGAACAGCCCAGAAATCCCTGGGGATAAACGGCGTGGTGGACCGTTACAGCGCAATAATAAAAAAAGAAACAAATTATGACAATTGTGTATAATTTATTTTTAAACATAATTTGAAATTCAAAGTCTCTTCGTGACGTTGTCTGGTTTTTGTTTGGATTGATACAAAACGGTTTTCCGGGCGAAATACAACGAATACCAACAGCCAACATGAAAGAGCCTCGACTGAGATATAATTCCTACGAGCGAAACGGTCGGATGGCTTATGGAATGTCGTCGAATCAAAGACCGTGGACAGTTAATTAAAATTTCTAAACAAATTTCCGAGCT